GCTTACGAACTTATGGTATTAAATGGTAAGTATATTGGTAAAAATAAGCTTACGAGCTTATGGTATTAAATGGTAAGTATATTGGTAAAAATATGCTTACAAGCTTATTGAATTAAATGGTAAGTACATTGGTAAAATAAGCTTACGAGCTTATGGGATAAATGGAAATTATATTGATAAGAAACTTTATGTTATTTTATCATGGAAAAAATATTGAATATGTTGGTAACATGATTTTATGGCATTTTGAAATTTACATTGAAAATCATGCATGAATTGTATTGCAATGTTTATTGTTTAGTTGCCTCACTAAGTTTATACTTAGCATGTGATGATTTTCACGCGTAGGTAAAAAGCCAGTAGTGGAATAAAGAGTTCAAAGGGACATTAAGCATCGAAGAGTATATTTCAATATCAGTAAGGCATCCTATGATGGAATTTTAATTAGATAGTGGCATGTAATTAATAATGTTCAATTTATTTTGTTTAACAAATTTGGAAACAAAATGGTAACCTTATATTGAGGAAAGGTTAAGTTTTTATGAGTTTTATGTAATTTTCGGAAATTACTGTAGCAGTTATTGTAGCAGTGCATCGATACACATTTTTGATTCGAAAATTGGTGCATCGATACACTATTCACGTTACTGTAGCAGTGCATCGGTACACTGTTCACTGTTCAAGGGTATTGTTCACTGTTATTGTTCATTATTCACTATTTATAAAAAAAATCTTTTGTTTTAAATTTGTTATAATGAAACACAATTTATATGATATGATATTTTTATAATATCATTTACCATTTAAAGAAAATAAATTTTAAATCATTATTGAAATTGGAAATGGTTTTAGAAATTCGGGTGACATCTATAATTTGTATAGGTATAATTATACGGGTTATGAGTGTTACATTTATTTTCATCAGAGCTACAGGTTTAGCCGATTCTAGGACTAAATCGAGTTTGTTTTGAGTTAAAAAGTGTATACATGCCACTAGGATGTCAAAAGTTATTGATAGTTGTATATATACTGTGATGGTGCTTATTGAGAGTAAAGTTACTCTTTAATAATGTATGATGATTCTGACTATGTTCAGATGTTGGAATTAAAGACAAAGGTAAGAAATTTGAAAATGTTGAAAGAAAAATCGAGATTGAAATCGACCAAAATGGGACCCGATATGACTTATGTAAAATACCTTAGAAGAGTGGATGTTATAAAGGATTTTTCTCCAATTTGTGGAAGAAATGCTCAGTTTTTAATGAAGATTCTGAATTACAAGAATCGATTAAAAAGTTTGAACGACTTTCAAGAAAATTCGAATCGGATGAGGATCCAGAGTAGATTTCTGAATCTAGTGATGATTCTAAGGTTTCTCCAGGTAAGCTTAAATAAGTGAGAAATATTCAAGCTAAGCATTAAATTGTTTAAATCATTGTTGATTGAGTAAGAGGAAATAAATAAGCGGTAATGAGTTATCCACTAAAAGTTTACAGAAAATTGAGTTATTAGTGAATCAAATGATTATGAGTTAGATCGAGAATAGATATCAAATCCATAAAACTGAATAGAGTTACCTTACGAAGGTAAATTTGCGAAAATGGATTGTCTAACATTCCATGTGCAATGAAAATATTGTTTAGATTGAGATGGATTCTCAAGAACTTGAAAAGTGTCAAGTTCGTAATGATAAAAAAGAAGAAGTAAAATTGTTTACTAGTGTGATTTTAGCATTAATTGATATGAAGTTATTGCTACAAATTTATCAAGTTTTCTTATTGAACGATGGGAACATTGAGACTTTCATTTGAGATTGAAAATGTTTCAACTGTTCGAAAATATTATCTTTGGATCTGGAAAAGTTACACAAATTTCCTTAAGAATGAAATAAGAAATTCCAAAGTAGAAATATTCAATTCTACTTGATATCGAGTGATATTATAGCGGAAGACCCATAAGTCACGGTCGTAATACAAGTGTTAGAAGGACAAATAATAATTGTCCGATAAAGATTCAGGAGCTTATGTTAATGGTGAATCTTATGGGATTATCATTAACGAGTTTTAGATCATTTTGATCATGGGTTGGTTGTCTCTGCATTAAGGATGGGTTAATGGTCGCAAGAAGCGATTAATTTAGAAAAATGCGGAGAAATTAAAAATTATAATGATTGACGAAAAGTGAAATCAACAATAAGTGATATCAGCAATGGTTGCGATTAAGAGGATGTAAAAAGGATGCATATTTTTTAGCTAAAGTGATAGATACTTAAGTATCTGAAGTAAGATCATATGATATTTCCATAACTTGGAAATTTCCATATGTCTTTTTAGATTTATTATTTGGGTTACCTCCAGATTGAGAGGTGGAATTCAATATTAACGGTTAACAAGGCATTAATCTTGTATCTAAGGGTGATTGAGTTAAGAGAATAAAGAACCAATTGCAAGAGCTGCTAAATTGAGGATACATTAGACCGGGTATTTTACCTTGGGGTAAACCGGTGTTATTTATAAAAAAATGGATATATGCGATTATGCATAGATTATCGATAGTTAATCAGAGTAACTATCAAGAACAAGTATCATCTTCTGAGGATTGATGACTTGTTTGATTTTCTTAAGGAAGATGTTTCAAGGATAGTTTTCATGGGATAAATAGAAATTATATTGATAATAAACTTTATGTTATTTTATCATGGAAAAAATATTGAATATGCTGGTAACATGATTTTATGGCATTTTGAAATTGACATTGAAAATCATGCATGAATTGTATTGCACTGTTTATTGTTTTAATTGCCTCACTAAGTTTATACTTAGCGTGTGATAATTTTCACGTGTAGGTAAAAAGCCAGTAGTGGAATAAAGAGTTCAAAGGACATCAAGCATCGAGGAGTATATTTCAATATCAGTAAGACATCCTATGATGGAATTTGAATTAGATAGTGGCATGTAATTAATAATGTTCAATTTATTTTGTTGAACAAATTTGGAAATAAAATGGTAACCTTATAGTGAGGAAATGTTAAGTTTTTATGAGTTTTATGTAATTTTCGGAAATTACTGTAGCAGTTATTGTAGCAGTGCATTGATACACATTTTTTATTCGAAAGTTGGTGCATCGATACACTGTTCACATTACTGTAGTAGTGCATCGGTACATTATTCACTGATCAATGGTACTGTTCACTGTTATTGTTCACTATTCACTATTCATAAAAAAATCTTTTTTTTAGATTTGTTATAATGAAACACAATTTATATGATAAGATATTTTTATAATATCATTTACCATTTTAAGAAAATAAATTTTAAATCATTATTGAAATTGGAAATGATTTTATAAATTCGGGTCACATTTATAATTTGTATAGGTATAATTATACGTGTTATGGGTGTTACAATTTATGGACAAGAATTGTTGGTATTAAAGAGTGAATACCTGGAAGGGCAACGAATTGACCAGTCGACAAGCATTAGTTCTGGGAGCTATTTATCTCGAGTTGTTCGATAATCGATCAATCGACATAGATTGAATATGTTCTGAATCTTCGTTTCTTCCTTATCAGCTCAAATCACATTCTAAATAACTGATGATTCTGCCAGTTAATGAACTATCCCAATAGTGATTCTAATTTCCGGAATACTATCAGTATACTAAAGATTCGTGTTTCTCTTCCCTGTAAGATTATCCAGTATCTCTGAATAAATGTTTTATCTGATTTCTGACCTGAATTCTGTTCTAATACCTTACATGAATTCTGTTCTGATATCTGAATTGAATTATGTTTTGATTTTTAATATATCCGTTTATTGACGGAAAATGTTTTATTTGGGGTATTATTAGAGGAAGTATACTTACAGGCTCCTCGGCTTTGTGCTTAGGGCCTTACTGGACTTGACGGTGGGTGTATGGTTTTGGGGAACCTACACATTTGGACGTGTTTGGTTGGAGGGATTTCTATGGTTTTTAAAATGTTTTATTTGAGGGTATTATTGGAGGAAGTATACTTGCAGGCTTCTCGGCTTTCAGCTCAGGGCCTTGCTGGACGTGACGGTGGGTGTATGGTTCTGGGGAACCTACAGATTTGGACGTGTTCGGTTGGGGAAATTTCTATGGTTTTTAAATTATTTTATTTGGGGGCATTGTTGGAGGAAGCATACATGAAGGCTCCTCGGCTTTGTGCTCAGGGCCTTACTGGACTTGACGGTGGATGTATGGTTCTGGGGAACTTACACATTTGGACTTGTCGGTTGGAGGGATTATTATGTTTTTTAAATATGTTTTAAAAAGATATGTATCTTTTCACTGGTTTTGCGGTAACACATTAGATAACCTATTATAATCTCTTGAACCTAGTCATCCGAAATATTTCTCTCTAAACTGAAAGCTTACTATTTGTTACTACCTGAGATATCAGTAGGACCTCAGCTTAGCCTAAAAATTTGTAGATGTCTAAACCAATAAGGAAATATATGTCTATCTGTATCTGCATGTTCTTCAGCATCATCTGGTAGTATTGTATTACTGAGCTTCCCAAAACTCATTGTATTACTTACCTTTTCAGGTTATAAGAATCGTATCAGTGCATCTATCGACATCAATATGAGAGTTCTTCCGGCGTTGCTTGCAGAGTATGATACATGTGATTAAGGGTCATGTAGGTTGTATTTTGTTTTATATACGAGTTTGAAAATTTGTTTTATTTCTGAATATTGGTAAAGTTTACTTTTGTATTTATAAATGATTCTATGAGTTTACATGTTTTAATAAAAAAATTAAATTTTTCACTATTTTTACGGTAGATCGCTTCGGTGACCCTAATATGACCCCTAGATTAGATCTTGTTAAAAGCATCGGTCTAAGGGGTTACACATTCCACTGCATATCCTATTGAGTTCCTTGAGTCATTTCAATCAAAACCCGTCGTAAGTCGCTTGGGTAAGCATTATTATAGTTTAAGTGTGTCCTATTGTAGTAACAATTATTGAATATATTATGCATCAGAGAGATTCCCATTTAAGACTTGAGTCATCAGTCACCCAAACAGGGGTGTTCAGATATCCCTGTCTATCTTTATCATCACTTGCACAAATCTACGTTGCAATAAACCAATTTGTAACACAATTTAACCACCCAATTATTACAATCTTCAGAAAAGAAAAACTTGAAATTGTATTGTTATAAATCAATGCATCAGAGAGATTCCCATTTAAGACAGTCATCAATCACCCAAACGAGGGTGTGCAGATGTCCCTGTCTATCTTTATCATCACTTGCATCCACCATTCAATAGTATTATAAAATAAAAAACCCATTTTTGTAATAAGTTTGAACAAGCTTTAAAACCTCAGTTTCATGCTAATTACAAGTAAAACATTCGGGCAAATAAAAAAAATGTAATGCGAAGAAATTGGGGAGGAAGCATTCTCTTGTGCCTCAGATTTGGTTTATTTCAAAGAGAGAATCTCTCGAAGTATATTTAACACCATCGTAGGCAGAAGAAAGGAAAAAACATGAATAAATCCAAATGGAAGTTAGGGTTTCATATGATTTACGGGAAGAGAAAGCCCCGGCGTATGAAGTCGATCAGCGGATTTAGGGTTCATGGTGGGTGTAATATTTATGGTTATATGGGGGGTGTAATATTTATGGTTATATGGGGGGTGTAATATTTATGGTTATATGGGGGGTGTCTATATACATGTGAGAGGAGGGAGCGTTTCGTTTTAGGGTTTTAGGGTAAGGAGTGATACATAATGAACCAGCCCATATATTTTGAACATAGGTTTCAGCCCATTGACTCGGAAATGTTTCATTTTTCTTCTTCTTATAAGCCACTGGAAATTAAAAATTGTTCATGGATCAAATTATTTGCTTTAGAGAAAGTTTAAATAAGAATGTTACAGTTAAAATGAGTTTTTTTTTTAAATTATCTGGTAAAAAGGCAGTATGTCTATTTATTATCATATGCCCTACTTAGAGTATAAAATTTAAAACCTAAGGGTGCGTTTGGTTCACGGAATGTAAGATTATCAGTGGGAATAAAAGATTACCAAGGAATAGGATTACCGGGAATGTTGTATTTTGTGTTTGGTTGGTTTAGCAGGAATGTAAGATTACCGTGTTTGGTTAAAGGAATAAAAGATTATTGGAATGTATATTTGACCAAATTGTCCTTATTATATATTTGTATAATATTACAAATTGTAAAATATTTATATATTTTCTTTAAAAAATTAAATTCATAATATTTATATAAATTTTTTTACAAAATTAAAAATATAAAAAAAGTTTAATGAAAGGGTAAATTTTTTTTAATCCCTGAACTTCATATAAAATTTTAATTATAGAATTTTTTTTGTAAATCTAAAATAATTTAAGGATAAATTTGTAATTTAACCTTCGTAGAATTTTTATTATTTAATGATAGAAGAAGGACATTTTTGAAAAAAATAAAATTTTAAGGGTATTTTAGTCCAAAACGCCGGTAATATTACAATACCTAAGAGAAGGGATATAATGACATTCCCGATAATATACCTTTAGATCTTTAAATTTTAGGGTTGTAGAATTTAGTATCTTATGATTTGAGATTTGAATAAACAAACTGCATAAAATAAATGTTGTACGACACATATATCAAATAATAATTCTTAAAAAACTATAATACAATTATATATAGGGATAGACATGGGTCGGGTTTCGGCCAACCCGGCCCGACCCAAAAATTTTATATCTTTCACCCAATCCGACCCAAAAAATTTATACCCTCCACTTGACCCGATATTTTGAGATAAAATCCGAACCCGATCCGAGCCTACCCGAAATAATAATAAAATATTATTTTTATTCAATAGAAAGAGTTATTTAATTGAAAAAATAATACATATAGGGGTATTATTCTAATTATTCCTAAATATATAAAGTAAATTATATATTTTTTGGGTCGGATCGGGTCGGCTATTTTTCACTCTAAACCCGAATCCGACCTGACCTGTACATCACCTGTAAAAAACATGACCCGACCCAAACCCAATTAAAAAAACCCGACTAGATCATCAGAACCCGCCATGTTCGGGTCACATGCCCATTCCTAATTATATACCAATCCGATCCAAACTTAAATATATTTAACCCAAAGAGAGACACAAAGTCAAAGGGACAGACTTTAACCCAAGTAAATTAAAATTTAGGGTAAACTACATGGGTGACCATTCAATTATGGTCAAAAATCATTTTGACCACCGATGTTTCAATTTGATCAAACAAACCATCCAACTATTTAAATGCTTCAATCAAGCCACTTGTCATTAACAGTTAACAGAACAGGTGACATGGCAGTTAAAAATATTTTGTCTAATTACATGATTGGTCCATGTTACTTATATATATTTCAATTCGGTCCTCATTTTCATAAATTAAAATAATAACGTGTTGTTATTCGATTGGATGACCAAATTTATTTTAACTGCTAACGGAAGGTGGCTTGATTAAAGCATTTAAATAGTTGGATGGTATGTTTGATCAAATTGAAACATCGTTGGTTAAAATAATTTTTGACCATAATTGAGTGGTCACCCTTGTAGTTTACCCTAAAATTTATAGATATACTGCTAAAATTCACTTTTAATAGAATAATAACATTGACTAATATTTATTCAACAATCTCTATAGCATGTGATGAAAAGTTCTAAGTTGACACTTCTACTTTATTTTAGGTTGTGGGCTCGATACCTATTAGTAGTAAAATTATCTTTCCCCCATCCCCTAAGTAGGAATTGTTCAAAAATGGCAAAAAGGCATCAGAGTCCCCTACACTTTAAAAAAACCAATGAGGCATGCGTATTATTTTTCTTTCAACGTGGCCCTACAACTTAGAAAACGAACTCAATGTGGTTCCTTGACCAACGTTTTTCGTCGTTGATTGTTACGATGCTGACGTGACAGTTCACGATGCTGACGTGACAGTCCAATGTGACTGATGATGTGGCTGATGAGTTAAATTGTTTTTTTTTGTTCTAGGGTCAAATTGATTTTTTTTTTTGAAAAGTTAAAGGGCTTATTTATTTTTTTTGAAATAAAAGTTATTTTAAATTTTAAATATAAAATTATTTGAATATTTAAATATTTAAAAAATTAACTACTAAAACAAAAATTAAATTACTAAAAATTAAAATATTCATATTGAAAATACTAAAACTATTATAAAAAATTAATTTTTTAAATATATATCATAGATTATAAAATATAACTTATAAATTATTAAAAATTAAAAAAAAATATTTTTAAAAAATACATTATACATAATATATAGGCATATCATCAACATTTATATAAAGTATTTTTACTAGATTAATCGATATTTCAAAAATTTAAATTAGTTGAGACATACAAAATTTTGGATTAGTCGAAATTTACTATGTTTTATAATTATCTTTTATGTCAAAATTTATTATATAATTATCTTTTAAATTAGTCGAGTCTTACAAAAAGATAATTATAAAATATAATAAGTTTAGACTAATTCAAAAATTATAAGTCTCAACTAATTTAAATTTTGTAATTCTCGATTAATTTATAAGAATACTTTGTATAAGTGTTGATGATATGTTTATAGGGTAAAATACACGCTTACTCATTGAATTTTAGACATTGAACTTTTTTGGTCACTCGACCGTTTACTTAGTAACGAGGTGCTCATGTGGCTTATTTTAATAATAAAACACGACACATGTTTACTCACTGAACTTTATTCTCTCTCCTATTTCACTCACTGTACTTTTAATTTTTTTTAATTTTAATTTAACGGTGTTAGAAATTTAACAGTTGAGTGACCAAAAAAGTTCAATGTCTAAAGCTCAGTGAGCAAATTGAAAAAATTGAAAGTGCAGCGAAAAGAGTAAAGTTCTGTGAGTAAGCGTGTAATTTACCCATGTCTATATTTTACAAGTATATATATATATATATATGTTATGTATAATATTTTTTTAATATACATATACATACATATATATATATATATATTAACAATTTATAAATAATTAGTTTATAAAATATTGTATATATATATATATATATATATATATATAATTTTTTATAATAGTTTTAATATTTGTAATATGTATATTCATTTTTTTAATAATTTAAGTTTTTAGTATTTTTATATTTAATTTTTTTAATATTTGAATAGTTTTATATTTATAATTTAAAATAAATTTTATTTTAAAAAAAATCAAATAATCTCTTGAACTTAAAAAAATAATTTGACCCCCGAACAAAATCAAAAAAATCAATTTAGCTTATCTGCCATGTTATTCACCACGTCATCAGCCACTGTAGACTGCCATATCAATATTGTAGAATGACACATCAACACTGTGAACTACCATCATATCAGCATCGTAGCGATAAATGATGAAAAACGTTGGTCAAAAGACCACATTAAATTTATTTTCTGAGTTAGAATGTCATATTAAGAGAAAAATAATACTAGAGTCACATTATTTTTTTAAATACACGAGCCTATGATTTTTTTGCCTAAAATTTGACTCATATTTCATTAAATTAAGAGTAATTAAACCTTTCATATTTTGTTAGTTCTTAAAACAGGTAAAAAATTAAATAATTCCTTTTTATATAAGTTAGCTAATTTTATTAGAAAGATAAAATATTCAAAATTACAATGAATGTCTACGATCATAAACGTAAAGTAATCATATAACTAAGATATTTTCTTATAACCATAAACACATAAACTAGCTACTTAAGATCACGCAATGATCATACAAGGAAAAGTTTAAAAACCTAACCAAAGAACTTGAACAAAATATAGATACAAACAGATCTGAATGCATTAGCAAATGAGCCACAAAATAGGATAAAACTATTAAAAGACCACCGAAAAATCGTAAATCAGAATCGAGCAAAGTGAACAAAATAGTCACGAACACAAATGGCTTATCCAAATTCAATTCGAGGGTCTAAAGCAGGGAAAATTAACATGATAAAAAATAAGTGTCATCTTAATCAGTCGTGACGATGTCAAATTCAACCATGAGAAAAAAAATATAAACTAAAATAACAACCAAACGACCGAAAACGTAACATAAAAACAAAAAAAATGACATCTTAATCAATTAAACTATTTTATTCTTTTACATAATTATCATGATATCTTGTCAAGATATTCATCAATATACATTTGATTATTAGTAATGTTGTTTATATTTTATTTTATTATGGATTCATTGAATAATCCTAGTAAAAAATGTTGTGGTTTTTTAAATTAGATTTAATTAGGCTTAATATAAAAATAAGTACCTAAAATCTATCTCAAAAAATAATTTAGTGTCTAGTATTTTCTTAGTTATAATTTTAGGTGCTCATCCTTATTTTTTATTTTTAATAATATAAAAATATTTTTTTAATGAAAAAAGAAAAAAAATTAAAAAACTTATTTTATTTATAAAACCCCCAAACTTTTAATGAAATTATAAAAAAA